TACACTTTAAAAACCGATGGATTTACCAAAATAATTTCACGACTGAAATACATTTTGTGGCTTCGTCTCTTCTAAATTTCCATCACTTAAACCTTGCGTGCTATAATTTATGTCTATACATTGCCGATAGCGATAATGATCCCATTTCTCTCGGTACTTCACCATCACTTAAACTGGGCGTTGTTGCAATTAATATCTATGCACCGCCAATCATACCATTCTTTTGAGATTCTTTTTTTGAATCCATCAAAAATGGTATACATATTCTTCCTATATCATAAGTACAGAATATACATAAATACTTCGAGCTATAGCTAATTAAGCACCATTTTCAAATAATAAAAGATGTATATATATTTATATGAAAGATATTTTAATGGTTATAATAAATACTGTATAGGAAGTTAATAATAAGATTTTCTAAGCATATAAAATGAAATGAAATAATGATATTTAATGCTATAACATCACTTGTTAAGCAAATTTATAAACGTTTGAAAATAATCTTTAAAATTTCTAGGGAATTCATTTCTATTTGATTCGACTTTATGATTTATCTTATCTAATTCAACAGACCAATCTCGAATTAATTGTATAGGATGAGTCTTTTTAGAATTGTTTTTAGTGAAGTATGAAGGATTATTTGAATCTTCAACAATTGGTGGTGGTAAAGGTTGAATAACATCCTCATCTTCAACTATTGGTAATGGAAACGGAAAGGTGACTGGAAGATTGTACAATTTAGGTAAATAGCCTTCAAATAATGGGCCAAGTATTTCAATCTCAGATGCATAACAAATCAATTCCATATAATTGGGTAGGAAAAAATTCCCAGCATTGCAATAAATGTTATAGATGTTGCATGCTATTTCAATTTCGCATTGGATTGTTCTATTAAATGTCATGTTTGAATTTTGACGTCCGATGTCAATACTGATTCTTGTTTGTAAAATGTCATTAAAACAAAGAGATGTTACGGGGGAATCGACTTTAAACGTCATAAGAGCCCAATGATAATAAGTAGAAGATAAAGTAAGAACCCTTATGGAAGAAGCATATGTTTCAAGTTTGTCATAATCAATTAAGTAATTATCCAATCCATAAAATTTCATTGCACTTAAGAATAACTGTTCTTGGTTTTCATTAATTTTGCAATATAAGAAGTCTAACAAGTTTGTTTTTTTAAGATTACGTTCTGGTCTTATTGCCTCTATTACACAATTCTTAAAAAAGCACTCATGAGAATCTTGTTTGAG